TAAGGTTGCGCCTTAACAAGTCTTGCATTTTTCGACAGACCTACAAATTGCTAATGGTTCGATAAGCGTTCATCTCATTGTCTCCAACGATCACTTCTTCCTTCCGAAATGAAGACGAACTGATAAGCCATCGAATTACTTTTGTTGTCAAGTTAACCTGGTTTTTCCAGTTCAGCATTCTGCAATGTTCTCATCTTAGTCTAAAACCTGACCAGCAATGGTTTGCGAGGACATGCGTCAAACCGACAAGTAGTGAAGCATATTTGAATGGTGGATGCTACCAAACCCACAATGCGACCCGCAATCTCAATGTGGAACATGATTCGCACAGATTTGAAGCAGACAAGTAAATGCAAATCGTTAGGTATAGCATGTGAAGCACCGCCAATTACCAATGAATATCTTGCGAGCATCTACTATGCCGAAATTCTTCTGTCAAAAGGGGCAGGGCCTACACAAATCAAACTCTGTACCGCCTCCTAAATATTTGTGAATAAGGAATTGAAATGCACCACAAGTGCCGACGCATGGTCCCTCCTGGAAGTCAGGGACTGCCCGGCTGAACCCTTTAACATTGCTCCGTCATCTGTACTCCTCAAGTGCAGCGTCACTTAATGAATGATCCTCTTGTGGGTCGTCTTCGTTGTGGCTGGGATTTTTGAACACTGGTGCTGTTGCGTGAAATCAGCCATGATTATGACACCACGTAATCGGCGGCAGAACCCATCGGACTGTATTTATTCCTTAGTACACGTCAATGTCTAATGAAATAAAATATACTTGTCGAACCATTTTAGTTTCATTAGTGCAACCATCTGATAATTGAGGGTTACGGATCTTGCGCACAATCGTTTTCCATACTCCTTTAGGATTGCCTATATTGCTTCGATAGATGAATCTTGCTGTAGTGACCAGTCCACTTGATTTGTAGCTCAGGTAAGTTCATGGAAGCCAGTTTACAGTATTCCTAGGATGACTGCTATGGAAGCGAGTGTGACAGCAGCAGCTTTCGCCAAGCTAGGGCCACTGGATGTTCACTTGGTATTACTGGATTCATGCCTCACACGCCACGACAAGTTGTTAGCAGCTCGTCAACTTCAAATTCATACATGAGGGATCTGATTGCGGTTTGGTGCGAGTCCACCAGCATACGTGTAGTGCTGCCCCAATCTCAGATATCATCTCCGCACTCTCTGCTTCCAGATCACTAGGCCTGTAGGGAATTTGAACCCTTGTTCTATTTCTTTGACGTGTCAAAAGGACGTATGAGCTGAAAGCGATTACGGTTCATTTTGTCTTGGGTATTTTGCAACTAGTGCAAACGGCAGCTTCACATAAAACAGTAAATCTCACCCACCCACATTTCGCCAACACTCAGGTGGATCGAGCTTTAGGGCACACGTAGAACATCCGCATTTCTTTTGGTAGCAGCAGTCTAACGAAATAGGGAAACAAATCTATACCAGCACGTCACCATGATCTGTTGTTGTTCGGTCGTTGTGGGAGTACGATTAGCCGCTCAGCTGTACATCCCGTGGAATTATATCGGAAGTTAAAAGAGTCCCAGAGAGTCCCACCGGCCACCGGAAATTAACTAATGGGCAATACTTTTACGCTTGTTAAGTCATTCGCAACTACTGAATGTGTCATGACCGTGGAACAAACGGTTGAACGTGAATCCTCAGTGATCTATTTACACAGTTTCCATGGATACTTAAAATACCAAAAATTCTAGTACGATGGCATATTAAGGTTTTCCAAATTGGCCGGATACGTATATGGGCGATAAGGAATATTTAAACATTCAAGTCTGCCAAGGCGGGGAACTCAAGTCAAGTCAATAAAATGCTTAATACACCAACAACGCTTGAATATTCAGCCGTAAACAGACTGGCTTAATCAAATAAATGCATCGTACGCGCTGGATTCTTCCATCACCTTTCTTTCTAAAATGGGTGATTAGATTTGACCTAAACGCTTCTTTATCTACGTTAGGATTCTTTTACCATACCAATACTGTAAAATTCCTTCTCGTGCTCATTGCGAAACTGATTTTGATTTAATTCTCCAAGCTGATGGAATAAAATGAGATTTGATAAAATCTGTTCAAAAGGCACTGCACTCAGCTTTATTTCTGTATTCTGCTGGAATTAACTCCTTAGGCGGCCGCGCACTTGCAAATAGATCCGATGAGCCTCCAGTAGCTGGTAGACATTGTTCCGGACTCATTTATGCAGAAGTAGCATCTCATATTTTCATCGCCTAATTGTTACGAATTCTTATTTTGCTAAGGTGGTTTATGTGAAGGTAACATTCAGTCTACAACAGCGTTGTCACTAACCCTTTTATCATTTGCTGGGATAACATTAAGCAACTGTCGAAGCGCCATCAACATTTGAACACGGTAGCCAGTGCATTATGCACTGCTGTCGAGATGTTGCAAACCACCAGCCAAAAACGTCGGCATCGACCCAATCTGAGCTGGCCTTTATCGAAATCGACGAGGGTCATTAACATATTTCAAGGACACATGCACCGCAATGCGTCCTCACGTCGTATTCACACCCCCAGACATGCGTGGATGAGTAAATACAGTAGACGTACATGCCATTGGTGGGTCGGCAAATTAGTGCGTTCCAATCTACCCCTGACCAGCGCGGCGAATGAGCAAAAACGAAAGACTCTTATCAAATGCACTGTATTAAACACGACACGGAAAAAACGTTCAATAAATCGATGATCACGTGAACAACGATAGTGTATGGCCACTCACCTCGGCACAGCCTCGACATGGAATCAAATTGATGCAGCGTTTACAGCAATGATAGCAATGTTGCAGCTCCTTGCCTGGGTTCAGAACGTGAACATACGGCTTCTCAGCGGCGATCAATTCTCCTAAAATGGAAGGGTGATAAGCAACGGTATTTTTTACCTACGAAGATAATGAGCGACGCTGCATGACTAGTCTCAGTTACGCCGCGTGAATCCACCTCATCCGACTAACACATCTGTATTGAATGTGCACTAAAAGTGCATCTACGGTGACCCCACCCCCCACACTCGCTGTACCCAACTCGAGCGTCATGTCAGTCGGGAAATTGGGCTACGGTAGATTTGGCAGTTATCGAAAAGATGATGGTTATTGTCCGAAAGTAGACATAATAAAGAACAAGCGGAGCATCACCCACGAATGATGTTATGGGCACACAGTTAGAAGTAACAAAATGCCCAGTGGCATTTTCTGAGCTATTAGTTAAGGCAGTCCAAATACTGTGTGCTCAAGCTTGCGACATGTGCAAGCAAGCTAAGATAGGGGTCTAGCACTAGTTACTTGTAGATAAATGTTTAAAATAGAGACCTTGAAAAAATGGACACATTGCGATGTAGGCAGTTTCCAACATCAAGCTGCCATCACAGGTTAGCATTCTCTCCGGGCAAGCTCTCATTTGTTATATCTGTTGCATCCCTCACGTTTAGAATCCTAGCCTAAGCCAAATTTAGGCCTTAAACCTTGAGAGAGATCATGAATTTTGGTGTACCAAACCATTCGAAGTGGCATCCTGGTGGAGAAGCATGCCATCGATGACGTGAACAGTATAGCTTTATAATGCAAGCCAATATACACCTAAGTGCGATTGCGGGACCTCTACATCAGCCGTTACCTTTATAGTGGGTAGATAAAGCTTATTTTGATTTGATTTGAAGTAAAGAGATTTTGCGAATGCAAGGAAACGCACCCGGAGCGATATCTCTCTTTGCCACCAGATGCCACCCCCACAGATCGTTTGGCTTTATGCAGTACACTTGTTCCGCGATGTTGTCATCAAGAGACGAGATGGTCGTGGCGACTTCAGCGTCCGTCGACTGTTTGGAACTAAATGTCAACGGAGATTGTTTGCGTCGGTCAGAGGAATCCCGATTATCACATCTCTGTAGATTCTCGTCTATCGAACTTGCAGTAACATCATCCGAACTCCCGAACGTTGGGAAATATTTTGCTTGTAGAAATGCTGACCGTGCTTCATCAAACCGACCTAGTCTTCGCAGGGCGATGCCACGACGAACCAGTGCAGCCCATCGAGCACTCATTGGTGGGTCGCACTGAAACACATAGCAATTATTACCACCTAGGACAGATGAAATTCAATGTTGAAGCTTAAAGCAACTAAGAGGATGGCATGTTCAGTTGTATGGGAGCGGTCACAGGTCGACCAGAAGTTGGCGACTCTACTCAGTGTAATGTGTTGAAGCACTATCAAAATCAGAACTCACCTCCAAGTAACGATCTATATCATCCAGCTCTGCTTCATGGGCGCCTAAATCTTCCAGCACAAATGCTCTGCGACTGAATCCTTTGGATCGACCTTCGTCGGTTTCTGCTCCAAAGATGAGGTTTGTATTCGCATCGAGCTTGCCGAGGTCTCCAACGAAGTCGAACAACGAACGAACCCATCTGTTATGTGCAAATATGTCTGATTTCATTCCATTTCGACAGGACTCACTTTCACTTGCTGGAAAAGTTCGAAAGTGCACGCAGTATATTTTACACAACGTGTATGGTGTTCACAAGTCGAGGCATACGCATAACTGTTTGTGTACCAGTTCAACTTGTTAAGGAAGAAATCTTTAACGATGCTTAAATAATCAAACAATATTACCCGGTTGTCATATAAGATTTTACTCATAGTTCCGGTATCAAGATTCACTACACAATAACATCCACCTTACTAGCGACTATACACTAGTTGGCCTAGGGCAATAGGTCACACACTGGGGTGTATACAGCAGAGTTTTCTCCTTTGATGTGTCCACAAATGCGGAGATTTCTTTTGCTCAAAACTCAGTTAATCCCCACTTTTCGTTCATAGTCTGTTTGTGACTATAAAGTGCAAACAGAGCAATCATGCATCGCCTACCCAACAACTGCACATACAACTATGGTAGGTTGGCAATACTTGCAGTAGACTAAACAAAATAATTGCTAAACAAGTGTACTTAATGTGTATGTATTTGCTCGCCAAAAATGGGTTCCACGCTTCTGTACGATCAATGACATTGCATAAAGACATTTGCCAGTGATTTTGAGACATTCAATTGTTGCCTAAATGGCTTCGTCTCACCTGGTGACAAGGAGTATCGCTTAACCGACGGTAATTGCATCAAAGCACACACTCGCTCAAAATCACTGCTGCACTGATCAAAACCCGGTGGCCATATCTTCGGCTGCGATTTTGGCCGACACGATCGTTCCCGAGCCACCACCACGCTCTCAGCGACCAACTGAGCAAATTTTTGAAAATCATCATTGAGAGATGCTTCGACGTCCGAATCCGTCATAGCAATGGACTCTGCAATGAGAAGTGAAGAGAAGTGAGTGCGGTAATTTCTTCCCTTATTCAGCGAACTCACAATGCGTTAGATTGAGGAGAACACAATTGTACGCATGACCGCGCTTCCGAAAGTTCGTACCATCCTACGTAACGCTTAGCACACAAAAACACGGACGTACCCCAATGTGGTTCTGTGACCGACGCAACCCACTGTGTCAAGCATTTTAACTCACACGTCGTCCAATCATTTTGGCCCAGTATTCTTTTACTTACCGAGTGAGTAGGACCCGTAGGACTGTCACACGATTTGCCTCCCAGACAACGCAATATGGGCGCATAATGATCAGCCCAGTTGATGTGGCAACCACTTCATGACTGACAATTTGTAGTCGGAAACAAGAGAAGGTGGAAATATCCGTCAGATGTTGAGATGAACTCAACAGACTTTCCTGCACTGACAGCCATTGTGTCCGGACGAAAGCATTGAGTACGCGCAATCCGATGATCACAAATCTGGGTGAGAGCCACTCCAAGCGCAATAAAGTGTTATGGAACATAGACTATCAGAATACTCTGAACCGCACTCGCTGACCAATTGATGCAGGAAGCCCTCATCTACCGTTGGTTGGATATCCGATTCCCGGACAGCAATGAACCAGTGCAAATGCGCACTCCATTCACATTTATTAAGGTCGGTCACAGAGGCTGACAGCAGGTAGAACACAGCCCCAGAATGTTTGATCGGTATATTTTGGGCAACATAGTTTTGTGTGTTGCGCTAATCCAACTCAATTTTCGCGGAACTTTCAGCTGTTGAAGATTGCTCCTTAGTTTACAGTTGAATAGAAAATTACCATGCCGAAACCTTACAACAGTTGTAAGCGGGTGAGTGTTTCTAGTCGATAGGCGCAGTTTAGTGGAAGGAGCTTTTAAGTAATGAAGTGCAGAAATTGAAAAGGAGCACATTGACTGGGTTGTTAACTTGAATACCGAACATTAATGGCTATATAGTGTCATGTAAATACATAAGGGTATTATCGAAACGTCTTTTGAATAATGTTAGTGTCGATGAGCAAACAGCGTAATTTGGGAAGACGTTAAGAGGCTGGAACACATAAACTGAAATGACATTCCGGCGGCATTCCAACCGACGGTAGCGTGGGGTCAGATTTAGCTGAGCATATCTCAGAGTGATATTGGCACTTTTTTCAACAGATGACGACAAAAATGTTCTGAATTCCTTAGAGTCAAAAAGGGCATTATCAAATTACCACACAACCGTCGGTTGTGTCCACTGTAGACCCCAAGGGTTTTCAACCTCAGTTGGTAAGGAAGATGAAACAGATCCTTTACGTACTTGCTCAGTCTTCGTTGTGGCGGTTCAAGTGCGGTGATTTCGAGCTTGTGCTAGTGCTGCCGGGCGTAAATGGAGTATTCCAATCGGGTCCTAATGTAGAAGTTTAGGAGCTGAGAGAAGAGGGAATGCTCAAATCGATCAAACGTCATCTGCAAAGTGCCAGTGTGTTGGTTCGCATTGTTCGACATTTTCTCAGCCTGATGGAAACAGCCAACATCTTCTTGTACTATCACACCTAGGTTGCATACAGTAGAAGCGTGCTACAAAACGTCATTCCCCATACTTTACTCGCAAGTGGATTGTGTGTGCGCGCTCAGTGGCTTACACTTGGTGTGGGTTGCAATGAAGCAGACTCTGAGTCACCCATTCGTATGCCTCATTCAAGTCATCTTGAAGTGTTTAGTGATATCCCGTTGTTGTGATGGCACGCCATATGTTTAGATCAATAGCGAAGAGCAAGAAATCTGAAGTGAGCACTCCAGCTAAATCGCCTATGTAAATCAGGAGTAAGTGTGGACCAAGTACTGCGGCCCTGTGGCACACTACACTTAACATGGATAGGGTCAGCGGTGGCGCTGCGAACTCTCACATGCAGATGTCGTTGAAACAGGAATTTACCTATCCAACCGAAGGCCGGATCACCAGTTGCTCAGGTCCAAAGCATTTGCAGGAGGATGCCGTGGATCAGATGGTCAAACGCCTTTGAGAAGTACGAACAAACTGCATCAACTCCCACATTACTGTCGATGGTTTCAATGCAACAACTGGAGCGAATAAGCTGCAGGGTTGTGGAGCAATACCGAATCTGACGGTATCCACCCTTCATAGTAACCCGTGAGCTCTTCTGCCATAATTGAAATCCTTAATTCTGTAGAGCACCGGAAGTATTGTTATCAGGCCATAGTTCGCCGGATCTGTTCAACTTCCCCATTGTGATGATTCCGTGCTTTCACATTGCTGGAATCCGCGTCCCATCGAGACCTCATTGGAAGAACTGTGAGAGTAATTCCTCGCTTCTGAGCGGATGTTAAGTGTACCGGAGTAGGTATGCTCGTGAAAGGAAGTCAAGCTCTTTAGATCATCTATGGCCGTAAACGAGATTTTGGTAAATCCCAGACAACGGAAGTTTGAGGAAACTTGCTGACAGAGGGCGTTGGCCGCTTCTGTTGCAGTTTGTGCTGGTCCAAATGACTTGCGTAGGGCAGGAGTCGTTTGCTGCATTCTGCGGACTTTGTTAACCTGTCTGTAAAAGAGGTTAGGGCCTAAACAGAATTTTGCACTAGATACTGTTTACGTTTTATTCCATCTCCGTATGCCAGGTTGGGAAGCGGCATGGGGGGAAACCAAAGTTACGTTTCCAGGACATGATCAAAGTGAGCCACTCACGTTCTAATCTTGATTGCAGGTCATGGGAATCGAAGGCGGTTGGTCGGCGTGCATGGCGCTATCTACTCACGAAGGCAGTTGCCGAAGAGAGTGAGAAAGACCTCATACATGCAGAGAAGAAGCGGCAAGCACCGATGGGTTTTACTCCATCAACATCGAGCGCATGGTGCTGTAGCACATGCGGCCGTGAGTGCCTTAGTCAAGCAAGCCTAGTGAGCCATGAGCGAGGCCATTCGGGACCACTATCGAAGCGACGACGGGTCCTGCAGAGAACGTAGGCAGAACCGGCGCAGCGTTTGTAGGTACGCTGCATTCGATTTACTAATCGCGTGCTTGCATGCTAAGTCTATTTGTTTCAGGAGGTGGGTTTTCAACTTTGTCCTAATGTGCTCATGTAAACGCCTACTTATCTTCTATAAACTTGCACAGGTCGCTTAAGCCAATTCATTCAAAAGCGCAATCTCATGTGCTTAATACGAGTTTGAAACGCTTAAAAATTATGGAGGACAAAACCCCGCTACAACGAGAGATAAGGAGAAGGACGTCTGAGGTAAATCGGAATACCCAACATCCATATGGCGCCCCGCATCCAGTTGATATTGCTCCACTTAGTGGCCAACACAAATGTGAGAATAATACCCCGCTTGCTGCAAATAGGGACGAAGCGGTGAATCATAAAGTGCTTTTTGAAATTAACAAGGAATCACACGAATATGCTGGCCACTCTATTGCATTAGATGCTGTGTCTGGTAGAACACCCAATTCTCGCACCTCGGAGCTAAGATCAACGTCCGATGCAAAATTGGTTGCTGGAGGACCTCCACTAGGCCGCAGTTTCACGGCTAAGCATGATAAGCCGACCAAGCCCAAAATTACTACAATCCACAAAACTAGTAATGTGCACGGTGCTTCCTCTTGGATAATCAGTTCTGGCAGTCATATAGGGTTTCCTAATACACTTTCCTGTATGCGAAGTGACAACAAGGAGGATCAGACAATAACAACTGCATTACCTGCTAAATCTCAGCTGCATGCAAAACCGCTACCTCAAGCCACGAACTGTCATGTCCCTCCCAAAGTCTGCTCTGGCAAGTGTCCAAACTCATCAAGAATATCGATGGATCCGGTTAACTTGATCGACAGTAAAAGAACCGTTGACCTAGATTCATCACAAGCATCATTGGGCGACTCTGTATCGTCATTTTGTTTGGATAGCTGTACATCCACTGGTCATAAAGTTATGGGACACGTGCCGCCATCTTTGCAACTTACACACGGTGTAATTGGCTATCATGACTTCCAGAATCCATCAACGAACCACATGGATTATGCTGATGTTGGTGTACAGATTGACACCAGCGTGCCTCCACCGCGTATAGTGAAGCCTTGTATATCGAGCGCAATTAAGCGGATTTTATCCATAGATAGAAATGACAGCAACCCACTGACTCCTATCAATGCGTTACGCAATCAACAGCCTATTAGCGACAAGATGCAAAGGACACAACCTAACTCTCCAGCTACTGCAGTAATCACGGACTCTTTCCCTCGAACCATTTTCTAGAGGGCCATACACAGTCTCAACCCCCTCCACTGTGGCCACCACTAAATCATTTTCCACCGTTGGCAATACGCGTACTTTTTCAACAATTTCTAACCTGGGTCCAGGCACACGGCTTGAAACTCTAGTGTTTATAACACGACCTAAAGTAGCAAACTTACCTTTTCCGAGTCGTAGGCGAACAGTCATCAGTCGCGTGCTGATGCCTGTTGGTTCACCCACCAGCTGGCCATGGAGGCGATCGGATATTGCAAATCCGAGCCCATGTTCACGGGGTGCTGAGGCGGCGTTGCCCACCCAGTAGAATGTGTAGCCAGCACCTGTTTCAAGCAACTTACCGTGCTCAGCGAGCCGAGTTTCACTGAGCGCCGCAATATCGATGTGGTAGAGCGCCAGCTCCATTGCGACCAGTGCAGTGAGTCGCTCCGGGCGCTCGCTGGAATTCCGGTCCAGTAGTGTGCGCACGTTCCAGCACCCCATGTTGAGTGCTTTGCGCGCAGCCATACGATCGCAATGGTGGGCAATCGCACGCGAGGTGGTCGTTGTGCATCGGAGGTTTGCTTGAGGGACTCCACCCGGAGCCTTTGGCTCAATAGCCTGACCCGCAAGGCAGTGGAGAGCAGATCCAGCTCGGGAATGTGATTGCAGAGACAGATTGGGATCTGCTTGACGGCCGTCACACGCAGCCGTTGAGGTTCTGGAA